AAGTAGTACTGAGTCTTTCAAATGTTAAAAACCTAAAACTGTAGAAATCTCAGCATTAGAGGTGGACATAATAGATTTTTGTCTGAGAGAGGGAAGGAAGTGAGAGGGAGGGAGGACTGGAGCATGTGAAAAAATCATGATTGTTCAACTGAATAATCTTATAATTTAGGGGCGCCTGTGTGGCTCAGTTGGTTAAGCCTTGGACTGTTGATCTCGGCTCTGGTCATGATCTCAGTGTCATGAGATGGAGCCCTGTGTTGTCAGGCTCATGCTGGGCGTGGAGTCTGATTAATATTCTTTCTCCCTCTATCCCCTCCCCTTACCCCCCTACTCCGCGCACTCTCTCTCTTCTCTCTCTCAGAAAAAAAAAAATCTTATAATTTAGCAGGAACATCTGGCCCTTTCACCAATGTCATCATGATGATGATTTATCAAAGAAACCCTTCTGTACTAATAGCAACTAGTAAAATGTTGGGGCTATAGGGGTGATATTTTTCTTAAATTGTAAAACTGTGATCCAGGAATCCTTGGGAAGTAGAACGTGTGAGCTTTAAAACTGATTTAGTTGTACAAGTTGATACATTTTTAAAAAACACCATTATGTGCAGAATAGAAACCAGGCAATAGTAGGAGGCAACTACCTGTAAAAGAAATAAGTGAAATGGTCACTTACCTTCCAACCTGTTAAGAATTGGCATACCTGGGGAGCCTGGGTGACTCAGTTGGTCAAGTGGCTGCCTTCTGCTCAGGTCATGATCTCAAGGGTCCTAGGATGGATAGAGCCCCATGTCGGGCTCCCTGCTCATTGGGATGGGGCGGGGGGGCTGCTTCTCCCTCTGCCCCTCCCCCCATTTGTGCTCGCTCTCTCTCTCTCTCTCTCTCAAATAAATAAATAAAATCTTAAAACAAAAAGAATTGGCATACCTACAAGAAATCTGTTTCTGAAAATCTATCTATATCCAAATAACATCATTTGAAACAAAAAAAAAAATTAGAAATAACCCATATGTGTTCACCAGCAGGAAAATGGATCAGAAAATTCTTTACACATACAATGGAATATTACCTTATAATACAGCAGCCAAAAGGATAAACTATAGCTGCACACTACAATGTGGATGAATCTTTAAAAATGCGATGTTAAGTGAAAGGCTTTCATACAGCATGAAGCCCTTTCTATAAAGTGAAAAGAAGATGAAGCTAAATATATTGTTTAGGTATCCATATTTCATAATAATATTTTTAAAGTAAGGTAATGATTTACACAAAATTCAGAAGTAATTGCCTCAAAAGTGGAGGCAGGAATTCAGAAGAAAGAAGGAGCACAAAATTTTAAGTTGTTGGCTCATTTCATCAGTTGGGCGATGGTTTCATGGATATTGGTTATATTTTTTAAGAATTAAAATTATACATTCAGGGGCGTCTGGGTGGCTCAGTCATTAAGCATCTGCCTTTGGCTCAGGTCACGGTCCCAGGGTCCTGGGATCGAGCCCCGCATCGGGGTCCCCACTCAGCAGGAAGCCTGCTTCTCCCTCTCCCACTCCCCCTGCTTGTGTTCCCTCTCTCGCTGTGTCTCTCTCTGTCAAATAAATAAATAGAATCTTTAAACAAAAAATTATATATTGAAGTTAGCTATTTGAAGATGTTCTGGAATAAGTCATTTTAGAAATTAATTCCCACCTTCATTTATCTTTTCACACTACTGAATGTATCAAGTGTTCTTAATATGCCCAACTAAGTTAATGGATGAGGAGGAAACTCAATTAAGATGGTTATTTCCAGCTCTTTTCCTCAGAGTGGAGGTATAGTAAGTAGTATATCCTTCACGGTGATCAGGAAGAATCTGGTTGCAGCACACAGCAGGAAAGATCTGTGCTCGGTTCTCAGTTTCTCAGAAAATACTTATTATAAACCTAACTAGAATGTATAAGAATAAGTGGTTTGTAAAGTGTGAAAGTTAATAAAACTTTCCTCCTCCTAGAATCTTAAATTGAAATTCATATTTGGGAAACTTTATAGGGATGTTGCCTGTGGTATTTTGGTTTTGCTTTTTGTTTTGTTTTTATTTTCCCTAATTAAAATTTAATCCTTGGGTTGGCGTGCTGACATTTCAAGGTATGAAAGAAAACGTGGACTTTGGTTTGGGGACATTAAGACAGATCTTGGGGAGCACCTGGGGGGCACAGTTGGGTAAGCGTCTGACTCTTAATTTCGGCTCGTGATCTTCGGGTTGTGAGATTGAGACCGACATGATGGGCTCAGTCCGGAACGTACAGCCTGCGTGGGATTCTCCCGTTCCCCCCTCTCTCTACCCCTGCCCCGCCAAAGGCATATCTTGAAATCCCAGATACACTGCTTGCTAGTTGTGTGATCTTGGGCCAATGACTTGGCTCGACTTTGTTTTGTTTTTGTTTTTTTTTTTTTTGTATGTAAAGCAGAGATACCAATACCTGCTTTTGCAAGATTCTTGTGAGGATTTGATACAGTATTTATAAAGCACCTAAAGGAAGATAAGAGAGTTAATAAATGATAGGTACCTTAAGTCATAATTTTTCCACATTGTATAACACGGACATTGAGCATGACAAACCAGTCATTTTCTTATAATAGTAGCTGAGTAAATATTCTTTAAAAGGAATGTGACTTCTGACTTTGACATGTGAATCTCATTTACTTTGGATCAAGTTTGGTGTGGAAAATTTGAGCTGTGTAAGCAGCTAGAACATAGTATTATTCAGATCATCACCTTGGATTTGAATTTCACCTAAGCCTGTTAGTTCTGTTTTAGGGCCACAGACTATACCTCAGTCCTCCTCACAACTACCTTATAAATATGTGCCTTTATTCACAGGTAGGATCGAATGAGAAAAAAGTTCCAAGGTTTGTCTCACTTATGACTTAATGTTACCTTTACATTCTAATATTTACCTAGTAAAGACCCAAATGTAAAAACAGCGCTAAACAATGTTTAGAATTATTTTTATTAGTTTACAAATAGTGCCTGTTTTCATAGTAAATTCATTGCTTATGAACAATGGAACTGTTCAAGCTGAAGATTCAAGGGTGTTTACCTGCAAGCAGGGGTGCCTGGGTGGCTCAGTCTTGTTAAGCGTCTGCCTTCGGCTCAGGTCATGATCCCAGGGTTGTGGGATCGAGCCCCGCATCGGGCTCCCTGCTCCGCGGGGAGCCTGCTTCTCCCTCCCCCACTCCCCCTGCTTGTGTTCCCTCTCTCGCTGTGTCTCTGTCAAATAAATAAATAAAATCTTTAAAAGAGAAAAAAAAGGTTTGCCTTAGAGTGGAAATACAGGTTTTCCTGCTCACTCACGATTCTTATTTCTGAAATGACTGCTAATACCTCCTCAAACGGATAGATAAGGGAAACTCAAGGCTAGCTGCTGCTGCAGGGTTTTTCCCTCCCTTTGGGCTTCCCTCCGGGTGTCTTCTACTTGGAGAGAAGAACCTTTGGAAGGAGTATTATTAACCAGGTTTCTCTGCTTCTTGACCTAGGTGTTCTTGTTACGCTGGTGTGTTGTAATCAATCCCTATCTGTTCAGGGTTAGTAAATGCTTCTTGGCTGGTTGGTAAAAAGATTGTCATGGTTTGTGACAGGCTCAATTCAGGTATTGGTGGACCCAGGAAATCTCAAAGCATTCAGATTTCCGTTTTGTTTTCACCATTCTATATTTTAAGAATGTATCAGTGACCTACAGTCTTGGTGCCCTATGTACAAATAGGCGGGGCTCTTTGGCATTGTGATTCCAGGAACTATTCAGTGTAAGTTTCATTTAAAGGCTTTAATGACTGCTTATAAGGTTTTGAAGTATTGCATAGCTTAAGGTTTTAATGTATAAGATGGAAATGTATATGGCTAGAAAGGAATCAACCTGTAATTAATGTGAATGCGTTAAATGAAGGCTTGTGTTCAGTATTTGGATACATAAATTCTGCCTCCTTGAAGAGGTGATCTTGTCTTACTGCTGCATGTCCAGTGCCTGGATTGCTGCCTGGCCTGTGAAATACTCTTAGTGAATATTTACTGAATGAATAAATGAATGAATGAATAACTCTGGGTCCAGATGTAGGAGAATGGTGCAAGAGATTTAAATAGAAATGAATAAACCTGGGATATTTTGTTTTCTTTAATAACTTGCTAATTTTCTTCCTAATTGTAAATAATCATATGTATATGCATTTTGACATTGTACCAGCTTGCTTTCCCTCTACCAGTTTGAGAAATGCCTGTTTATCTAGAGTCTGGTTCTTAGCATTTTTTTCTTTGAGCTCAGTCTCAAATTAGGATGAATCATTTATGAAATTTTAATATTCTATTATATTTATTTATTTATTTATTATTTTTTTTATTTATTTGACAGAGAGAGGCACAGCGAAAGAGGGAACACAAGCAGGGGGAGTGGGAGAGGGAGAAGCAGGCTTCCCACCTAGCAGGGAGCCTGATGCGGGACTCGATCCCAGGACCCTGGGACCATGACCTGAGCTGAAGGCAGACGCCTGACAACTGAGCCACCCAGGCGCCCCTTAATATTATATTTAAATGTTACATAGCATGCGTAAGTATTGTAAATAAAATACAATACTCAAGGAGAATTTTTTTTTAGTTCTCAGAAATCAAGGTATCCTTCTAATTAGGAAATCCCTAGAATGAGAGACTTTTAAAAATAAACATAGTTTTATCTTCTGATTAGAAACATAATACATACTTTATGCAGAAACTTGGTAAATACAGCAACATCAAAAGGAGGGGTTGCCATTAATTGGAAGGGATTTTGCTTTTTTACCGTCAAGTTTTTTTCTTGCACTTCTGTCCAGTCTAGAAAGTCAGGTTTTTGTACCTTGGGGAAGGAAATTATAAATGCCTAACAGTATGATATTTAACTTGAAAATCTGTTTTTGCTTTTTCTTAGAACACCACCTTTAGAGAGTAAAGAATTTTAATAGCTAGGTATATGAGAGTAAAGATTAGAGGTGAATTATGTACTTGTTAAATTCATCTGGCTCTTTTATCATCTCTCCTCTGGAGTATTACCCAGTGTTAATTGTCTTCCTGTTATCCAGCGCTTTAATCCCAGAGTGAGGGAATTGATGAGGATATGTGCATTGTGTTATGTCTGATCACAGTTTGACTAGCAGAGTCTGGAAGTGGGTTGTACAGGATGAGAGCAGCAGCCTAATTGCTCTCCCTGCATCAGCAGCATCTATAAAGCATCCTGGGAATTGCTCGCCCCACGTTCAGAGCAGCTGGTCACATGAGCCTGGATTTTCAGTTCAGTTCATTAGTCAGCCATTTTGGTCAACACCCTGCTTACTGCGCACAACCAATCCTATTAGAACTCAGCATCCCGGCTCATCTGAGCAGATCCTGGAAGTGATTTCTGCAGTTCAGGATTTTTTTTTTTAAGCTAAATTGAAAATATTGGTTTATTTTTCAGGGTTGGGTTTTGTTTTGTTTTTTTTTGTATTTTTTTTTTCTGCACAAAGGAGGATTTTTCACTTATTCATGCAGAGGCCAGTTTTTTAAAGCCAGCTAAGGTGGCATCGGCTGTGCAGGATTTAAAGCCGATAGCTCAGCTGAAAAAGGAGGGGGTAGGGAGGAGAAGATAAAAGGAGAGAAGCTAGGAGAAGACCAGGCATCATTTTATTTTGCTATGTGGTAGGAACTGTCTATGAGAAAAGGTAGTATAGAATTGTTCATCTTGAGCAATTGCTTCTTAAACCATAGGCATTTTTCCTTGTGATTTGTTTTCATCTCCCCCACCCCTTTTCTTGAGACCTTTGTTCCAGAGCTTTGGATTTGGGTTTTTTTGGTGAGGAGGTTTTATTTATTTTTGTTGGGGTGAGTGTGTGTGTGAGTGTGTGTGTGTGAGTGTGTGTTGTGGTCCCAGCTGAGTCATCATGTCTGCTCTGACGCCTCCAACCGATATGCCAACCCCCACCACTGACAAGATCACACAGGCTGCCATGGAGACCATCTACCTTTGCAAATTCCGAGTGTCTATGGACGGAGAATGGCTCTGCCTGCGAGAGCTGGATGACATCTCACTTACACCTGACCCAGAGCCTACCCATGAAGGTATGGTCAGACCCTGTCCGCTAGTATCTCACCAGCATCCTCATTGTTACAGTAGGCTGGGAGGGTCAGGGAGAGGTAGGAAGAACCCATACTCTAACGTGTTAGCAACCATGAAAACCTTTCATCCTTACCTACTACCCAGTTCCCCTTCTGTACTTTCAGGGAAAAAAATATTTTTTCCCTGCCCCCTGAGGTATCCTTTCAAAAGATGCTGGTGCCTATTTAGAGCTCTTTGTCTTTATGCCTTCTAAAAAGAACATTTGAGGTCACTTACCACATTTGGCCCTAGTCGATAATGAAGAAGCTATTAGTATTGATTATATACTAAAATATTATGGAAATTGCAGTAATTCTTAATAGAGTAAGTTAAGACAGCATGACTGTAGGATTGTACCTGACATAGTTGAAACATTCGGTGTTTTACCAAGGGGCATCAGAGTATAATGTTAAACAGGCTACGATATCTAGAAAATATCTGGTCAAACATTATCTTTCTTTAATAATATGGACTACAGATGAGAAAGCAGGTTTACATTCAGTGCTTGTTGAATGAATACAGACGCTCAAGAAAGGATAATGCCTTAAAAGGTTAAACATGACTAATAAGGTAATCCCTTCCCATGGAATCTATTGGCCATTGCTTTTTATAAGTTATTTGTGGTAACTGTGATGACCCATTTGAAATTTCCAGTCAATACCTTTGAGACTTTTGTGGTCGCTTACTTAACTTGTGACTTTCTCCCAGAACCTTTTCTAAATTACCAGAGGTTTTCAGCTTATACCCCTTAATTCTCCTAACTCAATGCCGTAAGGAAGAGAATTAATTTGAGTCCTAGATGCAAATATTTTTGTTTTTTATGGAGTCGCCTCTTAGCTGGTCTTTATTCTCTAGCTTTAAAATAATGACAGAAATGCTCACAAATGAGAGATTCTTTATCTCAACATCTGCCTGGTATTTAGGCATATCTGCAGAATAGAGACCATAAGGTGAGTTGCACATAGCAGATTGGGTTTGGGAAAAGTGATTCCTTGCCCTTGACCTTATATTGCAATCTTATCATGACTCAGATCTCACCCTTTATTCTGAAAAGGATTTATTTTCCCAGTTGGGCTTAGCCTTGAGAAAGTTTTAGAGCGGATTAATATCACAGAACACAAAGTATTCATTTTGATGTGTCTTTAAGGGTAATATTTAAGTCATTTTTTAAGACCTTTTGCATCCTTTAACAATTGGTTTGTCAGTTGGGCAGCTTCCTTTGGCTCTAAGTCTCAGAATCAGAACATGCACAAGGATTGGAAGACATCAGCTGGCATTCCATAGAATGCCAGTATTGTTTAAAACAGCCTCAAGGTTTAAGAATCTTGAGGGAAGAAAAACACATTTTTAGAAGGCTACCAAGAAGTCTTTTAGCAAATGCCTCAATTTGCATACTTTGTTTTCGAAAATATTCTCATCCATATTGAAAGTAATGCAATATGAAATACTCCTTTAATTATAAAACCCAGTATATCAGTGTCTCAAAAATAATTTCTAACAATTTTAGTACTTTGACTATGTATTTGTTTCTAGAACAAGATTCCTATGAGTGAGCAAAGTGAGCTGTTCGGTTCATGTAAGCATTTGTAGTGGTGCTGTATGAATCCTTCAAGGGGCAATCTGTGATGGAAAATGTGCGTGGCCTGCAACCTAAGCTCTAGGTTAGGTTAATCCTTTGATTAAGGAAAATAGACAAATAGGGAGTTCCCAACACCTTAGAACCAACTATAGAGGGTGTGGAGGAAAATAGGGAAATGCTATCATTGAATTTTAGAATTTTTGCCTTAAATTGGGCAAGAGAAACAACAATTTCAAATGATTAGAAATGTGGAAATAATAAAAGAAAGTCCAGACCCAGGAAGGCATCTGTAGGTTTAGTGATCTAGGAAACAAGGCGGTGCTTTACAGGGCTTTTATTTCCTTGCTCTACTAGCTAATTCAGTCATTTGGACTCAGGAAATGTCTGCTTTAATATTAATACCAGTGATAATTATTAGGTATAATTTAGCTATTACCAGGCCAGTGATAATGTGAATCTCACCTTGTTGACAAAATGGAGCACCTGGTGCCTGGACACACAGGAATATTCATACTGTACTTCCCAGCTGACTCATAGAGGGAAAGATATCTGACCACACAACTCCTGCAATGAGGCATCCTGACTCCCACAAGAAAAAATGGGCAAAAAGCATCATATACCCTCGTAAGACGATAATGTAGATTGTGTGTGCCCTCAGCAATAGAAGCTTTGCAGTTTCCAACTTTTGTTTTCTGAAAACAGGGCTCCTGCCTCTCAGTCTGCAGCCTAAAGTATAGGCCTAGACCTTCAGTTTCTGCCTAGCTTAACCCTTAAATACATGGGAATAGAAGCATTCATTTCATTATTTCAGTGCTTATTGGTAGTTAAGGAGGTGATCTCTCAGTACACTTTTTTTTTTTAAGATTTTATTTATTATTTGTCAGAGAGAGAGAGAACACAAGCGGCAGGCAGAGGGAGAAACAGGCTCCCCACTGAGCGGGGAGCCCAATGCAGGGCTTGATCCCAGAACCCTTGGATCATGACCTGAGCCGAAGGCAGATGCTTAACCAACTGAGCCACCCAGGCGTCCCTCAGTACACTTCTTTTCCCCCAGTACACTTTTTTTAAAACCAGGAGGAAATCTACAAATCTATGATTGTAAGTGGATTTCCCCTAAAGACAGGAGCCTAGGATTGATTCCACAGGAGAGGAGAGGGTTCCGAAAAGGGCTTCGTTCAATGAGTGAAACTGGGCTGGACACTGTATATAACTAGGCGATCATCAGGCAGACGTGGGGTGAAGGGGGGACATTTCCAGCAGTACCTGGTGAGCTGACTGAGCTGGAGAATAGCAAGTAGTTAGGAGTGGTAACTATCTCATTGTAGATTAGGAGGATTAAGTGAGATAATTAATGAAAAACACCCTATAATCGTTAGTTATGTGTGTAATAGTTATTCGTAGAGCCACAGTTTGAGCCGCACCACATTCTTAAATACATTACCAATTTAATGTATATTTCTGTTTTTTATAGCTAACTTTTTGGAGCAGTCTAAACTAGTTGTTTACCAGACAGACTAAAGTAATAGTAAGTAAGCTTAAATTCACGTTTTAGCATTGTCCTTTCTTGGACCTCCATAACCAAAAAAATAATTGGTTAAAAATATAAGTCAGTTATCAAGCAATACTTATTTTCCTAGTAACCTTTTAAAGAATGGGAATCCGACATTGAAAGACAATGCACACAGATGATCAATTTAATACAATAAAATATACCATCTGGTTACAAAGACAGCTATAGGCTTTGAAATTACTTTTTTGACTTGGGAAACTTCCTTTTCAAATACAGATAATAAGAGACAGACTGTGGAAGAAGAGATCTATTGGGCAGACACAGTGATTTCCAGGTTACTGTAGAGAAATGTATGTGATGGTGGACTTCATACGTGCCATTACTGCATAACTCTGCAGTGTCCCTGGTACTTGCAGTTTGCTTTAGTACTAGTTCATTACAAGAGCTGGCATTTTACTGTAATGTATAAAGAGAGAGCTTATCTGAAACATCCGCAAGTGTAGTAATGATGCTGCTTTATATGCAAGGATGTGTTTTGGTCAGTCTGTTGGTAGAAATATTTACTGGACATCCCTCCATGCAAAGTCCAGTTCTGGGGACTAAGAAATTGATAGCCCTTCACATTTCCCAGAGGACAGTCTGGGTACAAATTATGGGTGCAGATTTGTGATCAGGTTTTTCCATTCAATAGGACATACTTTACCGTTAAGATATAACAGGGAATACTCTACTGATAAGATAAAAATAAGCAAGGAAAAAATAGATGTAATGGAAAGTGTTATTCAGTGACTATGGGAAGTGTCTGGTGCTGAGATAACCCCATTGACACTAATGTACTTTTACTCATTAATATCACTGCACCCTAGTATAACCCTGTCATGCTTGGGGAACTTTGTATGTTTCCATGTAAAAAGTGCATGTCCCAATGGGCGTTTTGGCAGGGGAAGCCAAATGGTGCTATTTACCAAGAAACTTCATAGCATGAATTCACTATAGTCTAGTGCAGGGCTGGGCACCTGGGTGGCTCGGTTGGTTTAAGCGTCTGCCTTCGGCTCAGGTCATGATCCCGGGAGTCCCAGGATCAAGTCCCACATCAGGCTCCCTGCTCAGTGGGAAGTCTGCTTCTCCCTCTAAGTCTCTCCCCCCGCCTCAAATAAATAAATAAAATCTTTTTTTTTAAAAAAAAAAGCCTAGTGCAGGGCTTCTAAACCTGGGATCCTTGATCCTAAAAATCATACATAAAATGTTATTTCTGTATATTTTTTTTCTGGAAGAAAAATCCTTAGTGTCCATTAGAACCCCCCAAAGGAAAAATACAATACTTAAGAAACTCAGTTTTTATCATACAAACTCTTGGCCCTTCATTCAACATACATTTAAGTGTCCTACTTATAATTTATGCCCCACACTACAGTAGGTTCTAAGGTACAGTGAACAAGTCCAGTCCTCTGTATTTTCCGGACTTATTGGCAAGTGGGGGTTGTGGAGTGGGGTACTTCAAGTAAAGTAATAGTCATTGCAGAACAGTGGTACAGAGTAAAAAATCCTATTCCAGGGAAGATTCCCAATTGAAGTAATGTTTGAGGTAAGACCTAAAATGTATACAGGAGTTATCTGGGCATAAAGTGGAGGCAACGGGTATTGGTGGGGTGTGGGTGGTGAGGAGACAGTACTTTCAGAGACCCAAATGCCAGAACTGAAAGATTATCCGTATATATTTTTAGCCACTTTCCAAATTTCCTTTCCATGTAATTTTCACCAGAAATATTAATAAAGCCACATGCTCTACTAGTAACAGAATGTTAGAGATAGTGATGAAATAGATTTTTTTCTCTTCTGATTTTGCACAATGTTAATTTTTTAACCATAAAATC